AGAGTTGCAGGTCACGAGCACAAAGGGGCTGACATGGAAAAAACAGAGCAAAGAGTGCAGACATGTTCACCATCACCCGACGGGATGACTAAATAGAGCCCAGCGTATGTGAGCGATGACAGAATTAGAGTAAAAAGCTACAGATTTCCTCGGCAGAGCAAGGATGCTCCCGGTGGCTCTGGACTCGGGGGAAGATCTGCAGGGGATATTTGTCCTGTGAACATGTGGCAGCCTCTGTACAGGGTGAGAACAACGGAGCCTCTGGCCCAGAGCACGAGCCCCACACACACAACGTCTAGTGTGGCAGCAATGCTGTAAACAGGGAGACTCCGATCTTGCCCTTCAGTCCAACAGAGCAGCGCCCACACTCTCGTTTCCTGGTGATGCTCGTGCTGATCCACTTGCCGGTCACGCCAACAGGGAAAATGGCGTGGATCAGCACGGACAGAATCCAGCACAGGATGCTGGAGGGGCCCATGCACCCCGGGGCATTCCCCTTCAGCTCCGCGCACTTGGGGGTCCCAGGGCTGATGGGTGATGGCCTGGGAAACACTCAGGAGGCAGGTGCTTTCAATGGACACAGCCCTGGCCACACTATGATCATCACAGAAAAGAAGTCTATTTCCAACGTCTTTGGGGAAATGTCCTAACCCAAAAGCTGCCACTGTCTGGAGTTCTCAGATTTAGACAATGACCAAGGAGTTGGCTCCAACCAGGTGCCCGAGAGTCAAATCTGTGCACTCTACCCTGCCCCACTAACAGGGCAGAAGAGATCTTGGTAAAGAGAGACATCCCGCATGATTCCAAGGAGAGCTTGGGACAAGAAGATCATTCCTAGTGCCACACCCATGGCAGGGCAGCCATCCCGTCAGCTCTCAGTGACTGATATTTGTCCTCAAAGCCAGGGGACCCTGCATGCAATAAAGAGACACAGGCTCCATGCAGAGCGTCAACTTAGTTCCAATATTCTCCATTCCCAGCACAGTAAGATGCTCTTGCCATATTGTCTGAATCTCAGGGAAGATGACCTATGACCACAAAACCACTGCAAATGCTGTTTCTTTAAGATCAATTACACATTACAGGTACCCACACAGGCATACAGTTTTGAGTGCTATGTTTACAGGCTACAAAATTACTTGTGTATATATATCTTAAATGGAAAGTGTATGTAAGTTACAAACGAACTTCTTACATTCCAGCAGTGAATTATGTTAGGGTCCGGAGCCGACCACCTCTCAAATAGACAGAAGACACTCACGATAAGGCAAGTCACACAGCGAGGTTTATTTCCAGCTAGCTGGGGTCCAAGTGTCTGCCCAAAGCAGCGGGTTTCCACAAGGACCCAGAGCACTCACTCAAAGCCAGGGGTTTATATGGCATTTTCAAAAAGCACTCACAGTAATTTTCCATAATTTTTGGCTTGTGCCACATCCCAGGGGTTAAACAAAAGCAAGATAAGACCACTCCTCAAATGTTAGGGTGGTTCAGCAACATAAGCTGACCAGAGTCGCTACCGCCCATAACCCGGTATGCGTGATTAGCTGACCAAGGGTCGCAGTTACCCACAACCCGGTGTCTATGATTAACTTATTCTTCAAAATCTGTTTATCAAGCCTTACCCAGTTCCTCCTTTCCTGAGTCAGGTACTCAGAAAATGGCTTTTCAGCCTTTAAGATGGCCATTCTCATGCTAACTCATTCTTACAAATTCAGAATTTCACTACAGGGAATTGCAGATCCTCTTAAAATGGAACTACTCATTCAGGAGCTCTGGGGCTCAGAGTCTGCACTTTTATCAAGGACGAAGCACAGGGCCAAGACTCTATTTTTGAGTAACAAAGACACAGAACTACAAGAAAAGATTCCTCAGAAGACTCTGAGTTTGGTGGCAATTGCAGGTTCTAATACAAAGAATGGAAACAATCCTTGGTGAGCATTCAATAATTACTTGCTGAACATTTACCAAATATTCTAACAGCTTTTCATAAATCAATGCAAGAAAGCCCCCAAAAATTACGTTTAAGGAGAAGCATATTCTCTTCTTTCATTAAACTATTTTGCCAAAAGGCAGGAAATGGCAGAAATGAAGTTTTAACCAGATTATTTGGCTCATCACCGGACTCATCCGCATCCCTCCCAAGTTACATTATATACAGTTATGTGACAGCGCTCCTCCGGGAGTGATGCCTCCAGCTAAACTGTTTTCACCCAGTTTTGGGGTAGGAGGTCAAAGATTCTTCCTGAGTCTTTTGTGCTAGGGTGGTTTGGCAACTGAAAATAATCTGCATGTCCCAAATGGCACACCTTGGAGTGGCCGACCCTTGGTCCGTACACACCTAAGCCTGAGTTGCATTTTTTAAAGAGTTTTCAGAGCAGGTGGGCACACTTGGAAGGCAAGATGTAAGAAACAGAGAAGTAACCGAGTGTCAGGTCTAAAAGCAGAGCAGCTCAGGGGGAAACGCGGGCCCAGCCCCGGCCGGACGCACCCTCACCTGAGCGGTCGCCATCTCCGCCTCGGCCTCGGGCTGCTCGGGCGCCTCTCCCACAGGGTGCTGTGCAGACACGGCTCACGGCCCCGGAGACGATGCGCGTTTCAACAAGGACCCAGAACACTAGCGCCGGCCGCGCGCTGGACCCTGACACCGGGGCCAGGCCGCCCTCCGGGCCTGGGTCTCAGGACGGACGCGGGGACGCGGGGCTTGGGGACCGCGGGCACTGGCTCCGCCCTGCAGGAAGCTGGGACTGCGCACAGGCCCGGCACCCGGTGGGGGCCCGCGGGGACAGGGGAGGTCACCGGGCGCGCGGAGGGGGAGCCCCGGGAAGAGACCCCCACGGCCGCGCCGCCCCGACCGCAGGACACGCGCCTCCCGCCGCCGCGCCGCCCGGAAGCAGGGGCAAGACCCGCCCTCCCCGCGGGGGAGGGGCAGCCGCGCATGCGCAGCAGGGCCGGCGTCTCCCCGCCCACCCGAGGCCCCGGAAGCGGCCTGGGGCTCCGCCCCCTGAGGTTTGAGGGAGGGCGGGGCGCCGGGGAGGCGCAGGCCGTCAGTGACGGGCTCTGTCAGGGGTCAGGGGTGTGTAGCGGTGACCCTAGCGGGGCTGACACTGCCCGCCCGCGCGTTAAACCCCAAGCAACCAAGGTGTGTCGGTCTCAGCGGGACTCTCCGACTCGTTTGCTTCCCTGTGTTGACACCCTTACGGATTCCTAACCTCTGACTCTCTTCCCTGTGCTGGGCAGGACCTTCCCTGCCGTCTTCTCGTCTCCGATAAGAGGGAGATTAATAGGAGAAGAGGAAGCAGAAACTATTAACACAAATACCGCCTAAAACGGGGCAGAAACCCAGGCAAACTGAGTACTTCCCGGAAATGGTTTGAGTCACCCCCTCTGATCCCATCTCTACCTGAAGGTTTGGGGATGGGGTCGGTTTGGGGAACTATCAGGACCAGCACAGGAGTCAAGAATGTAGCTGTCACGCAGATTCATGTCCTGGCGGTCCCCACTGAGAAGAGTTTCTGGACGTATAGAGCCGCCACGGTACAAAGGGAGACATCCTTACGGTTTGGAGGTTTGCCTTCTGCATGCAACTGTCTGTTACAGAAAGGAAGTTCCTGTTGGTTTTCAGAGCTTATCTGAGGTATATCTGTTGTTTCTTAAAAATAACCAGACAAAAATAATCCTTATGCCAGAGGAACATATTTTGGATGAGAAATTTTGCTCCTGTTCAGTGGGGAAATGTTGAATATTATAATTAAATGCCAAAATTTATCTAAAATTACTGTACTTTTAACACTCATTAGCAATATATGACTATTCCCATTTCCCAATATTCTCACCGAAATTTGGTGTGATCGAGTTTAATTATAGCCATTCTAGAATATATTAAGTGTTTTCTCAGTACAAAATATGAACTATCCTGTTAGAGTAGCTAAATAGCCGGACAGGAGAGAGGGGGAGGGGGAGTTCGGTGTTTACATTGGGCCGGATCCTTCATTCTGCACATTCCATCCATGTAAGCTGCCCTTGCAAGAGGTGGGGAACGAGGGTATAGATAACAGATTAGCCCAAACCAATGTTTCCAACATTGAGAAGAAGTTGTCCCAAATTTCATCCCAAAACGTATTATACAGTCATTAACATAATCAAAAGCATACCTCTTTGTCATTATCATAGGAAAAAATCAAGCCTCCCCACACCACGACTGTTCCAACGAAGGCCAAATATAGTGAAAAAGTCCCCCACCCCACGTGAGGGTGGAGCACCCCCAAACTCGGAGCAAACCCCTCCTGTTCTCTTCATAACCTAATCCTGCTTAGTGAATATCCATGCTCTTTACATAAAAGTAGCTCCCTATTGTTTCCTCAGCACAAACCCTTCCGGGTCTGCCTGTGCCTGCCTAACTTTTGGGTGTGTGTGTACTCTCACATTTTCTTTAAAAACCTTATTCTCCAAGTGAACTCTTAATGCTGAACTGCTTCTTGTGTCCATTCTTGAATCCTTTCCCCTGATGAGATCAAGGCCCTCTCTCCAGTAACAGTCTCACTATAGTTTTCCTAGCAACTGGGATGAATGTTTAGGGAAGGAAAACTTTTCCCTTCCTCTCTAGGTTCTTTGGCCTAATAATTAAATTGACATAAGAGAAATTAACAGGTGAATTACAAGTTTAATTTCATACACACAGGGACCTCAAAGATGTGAAGCACAGAGACCACCAGGCAATTGAGGTTTCTGTGTCCTCATCTAAGAAGAGGGTAGAAGTTTGGGCCTTCAAAGAGCAGGATGACAATTCACAGGAAGATAAAGGAGCAAAGGGTTGGTAAATACTTGCATGCCATGCACATAAGACTTTCTGATACAAAAAGTTCTCTCTGGTATTACCTCTCTTCCTAGTATAGGCTCTGGGCCTCTAAATTATCTTAGGCAGTGTTGGGGAGGAAATATTTTTCCTCTACCCCCTCACAAGATTCTTCTAGGCGGCCCAAGGATCATCTTAACAACTAACAAATTAACTGGAGACAAAAAGCCAAAGTTTAATCATGTAGATTCCGAGGCCCAATAATGAAACTGAGACCCAAAGAATGACCAAGGCAGGCAGCCTTTACACATTTGACACTCACCCTACAGGTGAAGGACTTCCCTGCAAGCTCGCGTGTCCCTGTGTGGTCGGATTCCCTGGGGAATACCGCTCTGCAAAGGTATGTTCTCTCCTAATCTTCATCCCACTAAGGCACAACATAATTTAAGGTGTGAGGAAAGAAACTCAAGCAGACAAAACACCTGGGAAATATTTCAAAGAGATGGAATAAAAGGAAGAACATGAAGTCAACCATTCATTGAAAATTAATTTGGAACTCTAGATATGGAAATTTTGTACAGAATATAGTGTAACAGTACTGAACACAGTAGTGAGAGGAGGCCTATGTAGAATAATAACTATGGTAAAGAAAAAGTTTATAAGGCCTGAACAAATAAAAACATCTGATGTTTAAACATCATTCCTCTAAATACCAGATAAGCCAACGCTATTTACTCAGTCCCACAGCCCTGTGTGTTTGCCACAGTCCTTTATGATAGTTTATTGCTGAATTTTCAGTAAGGAACACTTATTGCTTTTGTAATTACTAAAGACATATACAACATGAATTCAAATCTTTTGTTTGACCTAAGACAGGCACAGTCGCAGGGGGGCCATCAGGTGAGAAATTGGGGATCAACAGAGGTGAGGCTTAGAACCTCATCCCCCCTGTTTTGAGAGAAATCTTCTGCATCCGTGGATGTTGTGTTGCCCTTGTCTAGCTAGGATTAACACTTA